CAACAAATGAGATAACATGGTCTTTCACCCGTGACCCATCTCGAAAGGGTTAATGATATAAGCTTTTTCTCAGATTCACTTTTCTTGAGAGTATTGATGTAATATTGAAGTTCATATTTTAATATTGAAATTTAACAATGTTTGTGCATTATTTCAGGTGAACTTTTATTCAAATGACCAAAAAAAAGCTGTACTCATATTTGATGCTTCTTTAACCCTAAAACTAAGAAAGTAAGGCTTTTGTTCAATTGCACAGGCAAGGATTAAGGCCAAACCAATTACAAGGGCACCATTAGTTCCACGTTATAAGAATGGCTTGAGATACCATGGTCCTATGGCCTCCCCAGTCAGTGGTCAGCAGGAACCCACCACACCTATTCAGCAGCAGTGGACAGAACAGCCACAGCAAGGATTACCTTATTCAAACGATCCATCTTTGTCTTATGGCAACCAGCAAGTTAGTGCATTAAATCTTCAGTAGTTAGTCATACCCTCAATGAATCTTTAGCCAGTGACAGTACACTGATTCTTTGACTTGATAGATTTCTGCTCTGGTTGTACCAGAAATCTGTGTGTTATTTGTCATTATCAGAATATGTCAATCATGAATTTCGAGCTGATCTCTTTCACTAACACAAACTAATCAATTAAAATCACACTAATAAGTGGCTAAGTGAGATCAACTAGCAATATGTTGATATTGTATTACATATATATATATATATATATATTATTATTACTTAGATTTTTTCTTGACAATTGACTGAGATTATTATTAGTTGAATCAGTTTGAAGAGTATGATTAAGGTGAAGTCATTTCATATAAAGTCCTGCAAAACCTAATAATAAGAAAGTTATGCAAATTTAACTCTTTTTTTAAACTCGTAATTTTTTGCATGTTCTTTCTGAATTATTTTCATGATGCCCTGATAATTATCACCATACCTTATAAACTTTCCAGTCTATTTATAAAAAGTGGATAATAACATGGTTTGGATTAGTTTTCAGCCAAAGAGACATAAATGTTATCAATTACTGTCACTGTCTGGTGGATAAATCAGGATTTTGGGCTGGATGGTGGCAGTGTCTGCTCAGGTTTAAAGAGTTAAGAAGGTTTTGATTAATTATTAGCTTTTAACAGCGATGCACAAATGAGTAGCATACTTGTTTGTACCTTCTGTTGTGACTATTGCTTTCATCATGTAACTAACATAGCGTTTCTTCATGAAAACTCTTTCTTTATAAGTAAAAACCGTATTTTATTATCTACACTCATTACTGGTTCAATTTTTAGTTATGAATCATTTAGGTAGTTTTCTTTAATCACAATTTTTTATGGAGAAAAGTTCATTGTGCTTAATGTTTGAGATGTTTTTTTAAAGTCATTTGTTCCAGTACTAAACAATCTAAATTATAAAACACAATCTTTCATTTTCTGAGATGTTCCTTACTCTTCTGTTGTAAATTATCACAGCTGTATTAATTCGGAAAGTATAATCCAATGTGTAATACATGTCTTAATCTTGTATTGTACCTTATTACAACCAGGTTAGTTCAAAAAATATAATCCAATGTGTAATACATGTCTTAATCTTATATTGTACCTTATTACTACCAGGTTAGTTCAGAAAATATAATCTAATGTGTAATACATGTCTTAATCTTGTGTTGTACCTTATTACTACCAGGTTAGTTCAGAAAATATAATCCATTGTGTAATACGTGTCTTAATCTTGTATTGTACCTTATTACAACCAGGTTAGTTCAGAAAATATAATCCATTGTGTAATACGTGTCTTAATCTTGTATTGTACCTTATTACAACCAGGTTAGTTCAGAAAATATAATCCATTGTGTAATACATGTCTTAATCTTGTATTATACCTTATTACTACTAGGTTAGTTCAGAAAATATAATCTAATGTGTAATACATTTCTTAATCTTGTATTGTACCTTATTACTACCAGGTTAGTTCAGAAAATATAATCTAATGTGTAATACATTTCTTAATCTTGTATTGTACCTTATTACTACCAGGTTAGTTCAGAAAATATAATCTAATGTGTAATACATTTCTTAATCTTGTATTGTACCTTATTACAACCAGGTTAGTTCAGAAAATATAATCCATTGTGTAATACATTTCTTAATCTTATACTGTAGCTTACAGTATATAAAAACCGACTTATTCACTCCTTTTTTATGACATGCACCAAGCTAACTCATAGAGCATAATCTCAAATGCATCTCCTACTGTAACACTGTAGTCTGCTACACATTTCAGGAATATTACCATGTATCGTTCTGTTGAGTTTTGCTATATAATTTCATGCCTATACATGAGTTTTTCTTTTTGTAGTCAATGCTTACTTTAATGGTGAATTTATTAGTTTTAAGTATTCTTTTCAAAAACTTGCTTGCTTTTTCTCAAGGTATATAAAAACATTTTACACAGAAAGAACTATTCAATTCTGTTTATTGGTTTTCTAAAGTTGATGATTAGAACTTATTGTTAAACTTTCTTGTATGGCCCCCAACATTTTGAGTATGCAATGTAAGTGTGTGTTTTTATTATTAAAATGAAACCCACTATTGTCTAACATTTTGCGGTATGATACTAACTATATGAAATCCTGAGCAATTATTAAAAATAAGAAAATTAAAGTAATTTTAAAAACCTAATCTGCAACATTTAAACATTGAAAGAAGCCTTGTATTAAGGTTGTTTAAACATTGAGTGAAAAATTTTATTAAAGTTGTTTGAAGGTTGAGTGAAGCCTTATATTGAAGTTGTTTGAACGTTGAGTGAAGCCTTGTATTGAAATTGTTTAAACGTTGAGTGAAGCCTTGTATTGAAGTTGTTTGAACGTTGAGTGAAGCCCTGTATTAAAGTTGTTTGAACGTTGAGTGAAGCCTTGTATTAAAGTTGTTTGACGTTGGGGGAAGCCTTGTATTAAAGTTGTTTGAACGTTGAGTGAAGCCTTGACTAAAAGTTGTTTAAACAGTCAGTGGGATTTATTCAGCTTTACATTACCAAGACTTTCAGGCAATGCTTTAAACAGCCTATTATTACCAGAACTTCAATATAAGGCTTCACTCAATGTTTAAACAACTTTTATACAAGGCTTCACTCACTGTTTAAACAACTTTTAGACAAGGCTTCACTCACTGTTTAAACAACTTTTAGACAAGGCTTCACTCACTGTTTAAACAACTTTAATACAAGGCATCAATCAATGTTTAAACAACTTTTATACAAGGTTTTAGAAACTAAACCTGAAGCTAGTTTTATTTTTCATGCATTTGAAACTACTCTGAAACTTTTAACATATATTATTTTGGTTTATTGTTTAATATGTAGGTTTAACTTGATGGTTCTTTGTGTGTGTGTGTTTTTGCACTCAGAATCAACATCCATCAGCTTGTAGTTGAGTACACTATCTAGAGTAGAGTATGTGCTGTATTGTATTGGAACTGGTGAGCTGTTCTAGCATGAGTTGTAACATTAGTAACTTTCTTCTCAGGTCTTCCCTCCATTTTATCCACCTACAATGCTTCAAGCTTGTGCTCCTCCTGCTCCATCAACTTTTGAATTTGGAACTGTAAGCATTTTAATACTCAAGAAACGTTTCTCAGAATTCTTTAGTTTAGCTTATGGACACAGTTACTTTGGTAAATCCTTATAGGGCTGCATGTGACAACCCTCTGGTGGTGTAAGTAGGGTTGCTGTCACATCACTTTAAGTTTTATACAAACAGCTCCACAAGCTGTTGTATTGTTCATGTCCTGTAACCTATGTTAACTTTTCTAGTTTTATCTGTCAACTGATAAGAAAGTAACAGTGGCCTAGTTTTGCTTAAGTATCATAACAACAGCTAGAGCTCATAGGTTAATATTTGTAAGTCCTCTCCTTGTTGTATATACAGAGAAGACTGTTTTGTATAAAGATTTAATTTAACAGTTATTTTATGCTCACCTCTTCTGTGTCATTTAGATATTTTTAATGAATGGGCTGCCCCCACCAGCTGCTTTTAAGTCACTCAACGGAACTGGAAGACATGGGCTACATGGGAGGTAAGTTAACTTTTCCATTTCAAAATGTGGGCTGATATTGCTTTGTCAAACTAGAAATAAGGTTAAAGTACTGGGCATTGTCTTAATGATATTTCATTGAGGATGGATATTGTATACCTACTACACTTAGGGTGTTGAATGACTTACACTTTCAAATGATAAATAACTTATTTTTTTCTGTACAAAACTTGAGGGAATTAAATATTGTTATTTACTAGACTAATGAAAAGTATGGTCTTACTACTTTCTCAGTTGACCAGAGAATGGGTATTGTTACATTATTATTCTAGAAAAAGCTGATTATTGTTACTTTACCAGAATAATGAAAATTAGCGTCTTTCTCAGTTGACCAGGGAATCGGTATTGTATGTTATTAGACTAGAAAAAAAAACTGAATATTGTTACTTTATCAGACTAAAGGAAAGTAGGATTATTTTGACTTTCTCAAACTGTAGGAGAGAGATTATTCTTACTTCTTCTGACTATAGAAGACTGAATGAAGGTGTGATTTTATTAATTAACTAACAAACTGTAGGAGAGATAGTGTAATTTTACATGATTATAGGAAATCATGAATTGATCTACTAGTAATTATAAAGTAATAATATCCATCCTCCTGTACTTTACTAAAACAACAATATCCATCTTCTAGTAATTATAAAGTAATAATATCCATCCTCCTGTACTTTACTAAAACAACAATATCCGATGGATATTGTTGTTTTAGTAAAGTACAGGAATATGGATATTATTACTTTATAATTACTAGTAAATATGGATATTA